TTTTTTATATTAAAAAATAATTTTAATATAAATCTGAAAATTGAGAAGTCAATTGGTATTTTAATTAATAGAAAGAGGTTTCATTTTTTTTTTTAAAGAAAAACAGGAGAATATAAAAGGGTTTCCACAGATTGGGCTGGTTTACCCGTGCAATGAATGGGCCTACTTGTTTTTTTGAAGGAAAGGGCAATGGACTCCAATTTTTTACTTGGTCTAACATTTCGTCTAGGCCATAGGAAAAGGACAAATAAACAGGAAGATCTAGAAAAGAAAAAGGAAAATCAATATTGCACTTTCTTCATTCCTTCACTTTTTCTTTTTTTTAAACATTGGGAAATTGGGAGCAAGGGGGATAACATTACAAGAAATTGAACTGTGGTAGTGTCTATGGTTAAGGTGTATCCTTCTAATACAACCAGGTGCGTTTCTTCACTTTTTCTTGAGAAAAAGAAACATGAAAATTACATATAATGAATATAGTAATTACCGATTGATCACACCTTTCTCACACATCAATTGAATTAATGTGGTTTGAAGAAGCTGACCTCAATTCCTGTATCAATGATAACATAAATCCCAGCTGCAATCAATACCCCACTTAGGGCCATTCCTGAGACTCCCAATACCCAATTCAGCCACCACATTGGACTATACATCTTAGGTTTCTTAACCTTAAGCCACATGAAGCATGGATAAGCCAATGTCACCGGCAATGCTATCCCACCGATCAGACCAGCCAAGCTTCCCAAAAATGGGATGGCCACTGCCACAAAGAAGCATCCGTACCCAAACATGGCACGGAAAATTGCTCGTAGCCACCACGGGCACGGCTTCTTGGTCCTCTGGATGACTTTGGACTCCATGTCATCGAACATGGGCATGCCATAGATTTGGAATGAGCTTACTGCGTTGATTATGACGAATAAGCTGGTTAATCCTAGGAGAAATTGTGATGTGTCTCTACCATGGTAGGCGTACAAGGCGGTTAGCATGCCCCCTTCCTTTGGGATCTTCTGACCATATGCCCAATAGCCTCCTATTGCAAGAGGGAATAAGGAGGCAGCAACAAATGCATAGGCGACTTTCACACCCTTCCACATTGGCACACGAGAAGGATGCTTCTCGTCTGAGGGCATTGTAGCCTGCAACCAACCAAATTCATCCAAATTTCACTCCTTAGAGTTTTACATTACGGTCAATTGTAGTCTCATTGTAACAAAAATAAGAGATTTTGAGTTTGAGTCTTATGACATGCATAACAGTTTACTTACTGAAAATACTAAAAAGGAAGCGGAAGAGTTGTTATTACTAATTACCTGTATCTCAAGAATGAGATTGTGGCCTCTAAAAGCAAAGGCAATGATCCCAAGTGCGTTAAGAACATCAAAAATCCTGATGATCTCTGTATTCCCTTTCACTGGATTGTATGATATTCCGGGGAGTGTTCCCTTGGCGACCGAAATAACCCAAATAAGGGTACAATACGCCAGAGCCGTGATGGCACCGATTAGTGACACACCAGCAATGGAGTTCAAGTTGGGCAGTTGAGAAAGCAGAACCGCCGCAGAAGTAAATATCAAGTACCATTCCACGGTGGTTGGTGGCTGAGCGGAGCACGTGCCGCCGCATACAATGTTGAAGAACATCTTTGAAGTGGAGCCTCCGATGATGATGAGAGCCACGCATGTGCCCCCTGATAGGTACATGATAGGAAAGAGGGCTAGCCATTTTGCTAACTTCTCCCCTGAAAAACGTTGTTTGGGTATCAAGAAAATGATAGAAAATGTTAACAAGAAAAAGAGAGATTAATTAATTCCTTACCAAAAGTTGCAGTGCAAAGCTGAAGGTATCTGCTGTAACGCATGCCGGTTTCCGTAGATTCATGGAGTTGCACCAAGATGTAGAGGGTGTAAAGTTGCCAGATGAAAGCTACTGTCAAATTTATGATTCCCCAAGTCCTGGAAACAACAAAAAGAAAACGTTGTTTAAAAACCAGTTCAATTTGTATACATGTGCCCTGTTTCACTTAAATTCTGAAACAGCTTTTGTAAAGCAGAACTTCTAGGCCTAAACAGAATTTTCTTAAAATCACTTCTTGAAACCACTCCAGTTAAAGCATTATGGAATTAATATGCTCGAGTTCAAGCTCAGCTATTGGTAGTAGTTAGTTAGCTAGTGGTGGTTCTTATATATCATTCATACTTGCATAAACTTACCAGCCAAGAATGGTGAAGGCAACAGGGAGAATCAGGGCTTGGATACCAATTCCAGAACAGAGTGTATGAAACGCTGCATAGTAGGCGTTTCCGTTCCGGGACTCGGTGATCGGAAGCCAAGCATCCTGAGGATCAAGCTTAGTGAGATGAAGAGCCCTTATGAGGGGGCTTCCCAGGGGAGTAAGAAACCTTGGTGTTCTGATATTCGGAGTTAAGGTTTTGAGGGTGGAGCTTAAAGGGGTTTTGCTCGCATTTGCAGGTTGGATATGATCGATGGAGGAGAGCAGTGGTGACCGAGAAAGAGAAGGGGAATGGTACTGTGACGGAGGAGTTGAAATGGGCGGCGTCGGCGCCACGGAGGCTCCCCTCGACGTTATCGGAGTGGAACCTATTTCAATAACTTCACCCATTTTGTTCTTCCTCTGTTCAAGCTCTGTTTTTTCCTCCTATGCTTCCCCCAAAGACTTTACTTACCAATGCTTTATATATGGAACTTGCATGGAAAAATGTCAAATATTAAAAAAATATCGAAGACATTGACTACATAACCCACCATCAATTATTTTAGATTGGGTTTTTTTTTTTTTTTTTTTTTTGTGTCTATATTTTTTATTAATTAATAAAATAAAAAAATAAA